ACAGCTGATCTGACTCTCAACAGTTCTCCAGGAGCGGAGCGGTGCGAGCGCTTCATCGCCGTGACAGAATGAAAACAGGCCACTCTCTGATGACAAACTGACTTTTCCTAAAAAAACCCTGAAACATCGGGATGAAAACACGGCTTCATGCAGCTCATGCGAGACACTGACAGAGACAGACAACACAAAGAGACTGAACAAATGCCAAGCTTCTCTACGAGACTCATGAACACGATGAACCCGGAGCGGGGGTGATTCCGAGAGCACAGGTGATCCGGGATTATGATCCTGATCCCATCGGATCGCCTGTCATGCTGAGAGCGGCTGCTTTCAGAGCGAGTCAAACAGTCGGAGTTTGTCTCTCCGTATGGGATTACACGCCGTGTCATGCAAGACTTGAGTGGGTTTGTTTATGAACTTTCAGAGTGAAGCTCACAATATTAATATACATGAGCCGAATCATTTTCAGACGACATCAGCTCTACACTGCGGAAAATGATATTATTGTCTCTTATTCCAGCACAAATATATAAACATTCTTAAATCAAGATACATTTACAGGAGAAGAAGCAAAATGACTGAAGATATTAAGTCAAAAATATGTCAAAATGAAATGATTTTAAGATTAAAAAGATTAAAAACTAGAACAAATATCTGCCAATGGAGTCAGAAAAATTATCTTGTTTTCCCTTTGAATTAAGTTTATTTTTTGGCAGATATTTGTTCTAGTTTTGAGCACAAACTCACTTCATTTTAATACATTTTTGACTTAATATCTTCAGTCATTTTGCTTCTTCTCCAGTAAATCCAGTAAACTCCAGTCTCTTGATTTAAGAATGTTTCTATATTTGTGCTGGAAAACGAGACAGAAACACTGAGGAGGAACAGAGTTTTTTACAGTAACTTATAACAGTAACAGATATTTATGGAAGCTTGTTTCCACCACAGAATAAATCATTTTTAAAATGTCATTTTTATCTCACAATTGCGAGTTTACATCTTGCAATTCGTTCTTTATTTCTCAGAATTGCGAGTTATAAAGTCCAAGGAAAAAAGACTGACTTTTTTTTTTCTCAGAATTGCATATTTATATATGCACAATTCTGACTTTATATCATGCAATTCTGATATAAACTTGCAAATGTGAGAAAAAAAATCAGAATTGCGAGATAAAAAGTGGCAATTACCTTTTTTATTTTTTATTCTGTGGCGGAAACGAGCTTCCATTGATATCAGTCATGGTGAACACTGAACTATCCAGAGTGAGGAGAGAGAGAATAATGGACAGATCGATAGATGACGCTGACGCACACAAATATTAATACTGAATCAGAAATCATCTGTTCGCCTTCAGTCTCACTCATGAACGTCTGAATGCGATTCATCAGGGATTTCTAGTCAGTTTTGTGTTGATGTCGATCAATGTAATTCAGGAGTGACTGAAGTGCACAGAAACGTTCTGATCGTGTGACGTTTGACTGACAGCTGTCGATGAGCCATCAGCCCGATCAGCGCTCCGATAAAACTGATGCCTCAGAGCGATCAATCGAAGCTGATGCCCAGCACACACACACACACACATGCAGAGACACAGACAGATGAGATCACCTCAGCCAATCACAACGCTGCGCGCTCAGGCATGCATCTGTCCTCGTGCACACACTCACTGGTTTCCAATTGCTGGGTTTCCACGGCCTTCCGAGCAGGTTTGCAAACAATCCCACAATGCAACACACCAGACTGACATGACCCTCGTCTGCAGCGCTGTACATTTGACTACCATCACTGTTTACTGCTTGACTGACATTTATTTCTCTGTCTTTAAATGCCAAACAAAAGAAAAGAGAGCAAATAAACAAAAAACACACCAACCTTCTCGCAGCTCTGAGGGTGTAAGGGGTTTGAGATGGAAAGCAGAGAGAAAACCAGGGAAACACAGAGAGAGTAAAAAGGCCACTGCAATCTTCATCTCTCTCCTCAATCAATGTGTGTTTGAGTGGCAGCATTATTATTCATATACAGTCCCAAATATCAGAGACATCGTGGCTTGGCCTTGCTCTACTCTGAGAAACTCACTTCATAAAGAAAGCAAACTGAGAAATAAACACACACACACACACTGCAAAGACCTTTTAGTCGTGCGTCATGATTTTAGTGAGCACTGAAGTCCATTAGTTTTGATTAGTAATTCACAACATTCAAACAAACAACCAAAAATGAAGAAACCGTTATCAGTGTAAGCGTCCTGCAGCACTGGCCCACGAGACGCATCTCCCACTCGTCACTATCCCGACTCTTCCCGCATCTCCCGCTCGTCACTATCCCGACTCTTCCCGCATCTCCCGCTCGTCACTATCCCCGACTCATTCCCGCATCTCCCACTCGTCAATTTTTCCCCGACTCATTCCCCCATCTCCCGCTCGTCACTATCCCCGACTCCTTCCCGCATCTCCACTATCCTGACTCATTCCCGCATGTCCAGCTCGTCACTATCCCCGACTCATTCCCGCATCTCCCACTATCCCGACTCATTCCCGCATCTCCTACTCGTCACTATCCCCGACTCCTTCCCGCATCTCCACTATCCTGACTCCTTCCCGCATCTCCCGCTCGTTCCTCTCCCCGACTCCTTCCCGCATCTCCACTATCCTGACTCATTCCCGCATGTCCAGCTCGTCACTATCCCCGACTCATTCCCGCATCTCCACTATCCTGACTCCTTCCCGCATCTCCACTATCCTGACTCCTTCCCGCATCTCCCGCTCGTTCCTATCCCCGACTCCTTCCCGCATCTCCACTATCCTGACTCATTCCCGCATCTCCCGCTCGTCACTATCCCCGACTCATTCCCGCATCTCCACTATCCTGACTCATTCCCGCATGTCCAGCTCGTCACTATCCCCGACTCATTCCCGCATCTCCCACTATCCTGACTCATTCCCGCATGTCCAGCTCGTCACTATCCCCGACTCATTTCTGCATCTCCCACTATCCTGACTCATTCCCGCATGTCCAGCTCGTCACTATCCCCGACTCATTCCCGCATCTCCCACTATCCTGACTCATTCCCGCATCTCCCGCTCGTCACTATCCCCGACTCCTTCCCGCATCTCCACTATCCTGACTCATTCCCGCATCTCCCGCTCGTCCCTATCCCCGACTCATTCCCGCATCTCCCACTATCCTGACTCATTCCCGCATCTCCCGCTCGTCACTATCCCCGACTCCTTCCCGCATCTCCACTATCCTGACTACTTCCCGCATCTCCACTATCCTGACTCATTCCCACATCTCCCGCTCGTCACTATCCCCGACTCTTTCCCGCATCTCCACTATCCTGACTCATTCCCGCATCTCCCACTATCCTGACTCATTCCCGCATCTCCCGCTCGTCACTATCCCCGACTCCTTCCCGCATCTCCACTATCCTGACTACTTCCCGCATCTCCACTATCCTGACTCATTCCCACATCTCCCGCTCGTCACTATCCCCGACTCTTTCCCGCATCTCCACTATCAGACTCATTCCCGCATCTCCCGCTCGTCCCTACCCCCGACTCATTCCCGCATCTCCACTATCCTGACTCATTCCCGCATCTCCCGCTCGTCACTATCCCCGACTCCTTCCCGCATCTCCACTATCCGGACTCATTCCCGCATCTCCACTATCCCGACTCATTCCCGCATCTCCCGCTCGTCACTATCCCCGACTCCTTCCCGCATCTCCACTATCCTGACTCATTCCCGCATCTCCACTATCCCGACTCATTCCCGCATCTCCCGCTCGTCACTATCCCCGACTCCTTCCCGCAGCTCCACTATCCTGACTCATTCCCGCATCTCCCGCTCGTCCCTATCCCCGACTCATTCCCGCATCTCCACTATCCTGACTCATTCCCGCATCTCCACTATCCTGACTCCTTCCCGCATCTCCACTATCAGACTCATTCCCACATCTCCCGCTCGTCACTATCCCCGACTCCTTCCCGCAGGTCCACTATCCTGACTCATTCCCGCATCTCCCGCTCGTCCCTATCCCCGACTCATTCCCGCATCTCCACTATCCTGACTCATTCCAGCATCTCCACTATCCTGACTCCTTCCCGCATCTCCACTATCAGACTCATTCCCACATCTCCCGCTCGTCACTATCCCCGACTCCTTCCCGCAGCTCCACTATCCTGACTCATTCCCGCATCTCCCGCTCGTCCCTATCCCCGACTCATTCCCGCATCTCCACTATCCTGACTCATTCCCGCATCTCCACTATCCTGACTCCTTCCCGCATCTCCACTATCAGACTCATTCCCACATCTCCCGCTCGTCACTATCCCCGACTCCTTCCCGCAGGTCCACTATCCTGACTCATTCCCGCATCTCCCGCTCGTCCCTATCCCCGACTCATTCCCGCATCTCCACTATCCTGACTCATTCCCGCATCTCCACTATCCCGACTCATTCCCGCATCTCCCGCTCGTCCCTATCCCCGACTCATTCCCGCATCTCCACTATCCCGACTCATTCCCGCATCTCCACTATCCCGACTCATTCCCGCATCTCCCGCTCGTCACTATCCCGACTCTTTGTTTGTTACTTGTTTCAGAACGTTCAGAAGTAACGCTCCTTAATGTTTGAAGAATGTGTCCTTAACGTTCACATAACCAAGAAGAAACGTTTTTAAAACGTTTAAAAATCTGGACGTTTTGAACATTCAGAAATAACGTTTTCATAATTTGATGGTTACTTTAATATCATTGAGATGTTTTTATCAATACATTGAATTAGTTTGTATTTGTATGTTTTCCGTTTTCATTTTAATTTTGTTTTAGTAGTTTTGTTGTTTGTTATCTATAGTTTTTATTAAGTTTTATTTCAGTTTTAATTTGAATTATTTCAGTACAGAAGTTAACAAATTAAACTAAATGAAAATTTAGTTTAAAAGTTAACTTTTTTCAGTTAACGTTTATTTTACTTCAATCATCAAAAATGTTTTAGTTTTAATTTCAGTTTCCGTTGACGGTTAGCAAAGCGTTCTTAGAGCATGTTTTCAGACGCGCCAGACTAATAAAGAATAATAACGTAACGCAGTATATATCGGGAGATGTGTTTGATCAGTGCTGCAGAGGCTGCTGGGTAATTAAAGAAGCTGTCTGCGCTGTGTGTGTGTGTGTGTGTGTGTGTGTGTGTGAGAGAGAGAGAGAGAGAGTGTATTATCTACGGAGTACCTACTGTGTTTCATACCTCTCACGTATAAGTTAGCAGGGGACGAGTAGCGCACGCCCTGAGCGTTAGAAGCTACGCACTCGTACTTCCCCTGATCCGTCTCCTCACTGCGCTCGATCTGCAGCGCTCCTGCACAGAGAGACAGACAGGCAGAGAGACAGACAGGTCAATCAGGCAGAGAGAGAGAGAGGCAGAGAGAGAGACAGAGAGACAGACAGAGTAACAGGCCGAGAGAAAGACAGGCAGAGAGACAGGTCAATCAGACAGAGAGAGAGAGAGAGAGAGAGAGAGAGAGAGAGAGACAGACAGGCATAGAAAGACAGACAGGCAGAGAGACAGACAGGTCAATCAGTCAGAGAGAGAGACAGACAGGCATAGAGAGACAGACAGGCAGAGAGAGAGAGAGAGAGAGAGAGAGAGAGAGGCAGAGAGAGAGAGAGAGAGACAGACAGAGTAACAGGCCGAGAGAAAGACAGGCAGAGAGACAGGTCAATCAGACAGAGAGAGAGAGAGAGAGAGACAGACAGGCATAGAAAGACAGACAGGCAGAGAGACAGACAGGTCAATCAGTCAGAGAGAGAGACAGACAGGCATAGAGAGACAGACAGGCAGAGAGAGAGAGAGAGAGAGAGGAGAGAGGCAGAGGAGAGAGAGAGAGGAGAGTGAGAGAGAGAGAGAGAGTGAGAGAGAGAGAGAGAGAGAGAGAGAGAGAGAGGAGGAGAGAGAGAGAGAGGAGAGAGAGAGAGAGAGAGAGGAGAGATGAGAGAGAGAGAGAGAGAGAGAGAGAGAGAGAGAGAGGGAGAGAGAGAGAGAGAGAGACAGACAGA